AATATAGCCAGCGCTAACTATATTTTCTAGGTCTGTTGGGCTCTCAGTGGATCTGAGGAGCCCTGTACATCAGCTGAAATGTTTCCCTTAATCATTGAAGTATAATGAATGGAAGGATTCTATGCAGGTCTTCAGTGTATGAGGATGTGGTTGATGTAAAGATACAGCTAGGGTTCAGTAGACCACAGCAGTGTACTTTCCCCCCCCTGTTTGTATAACCACTAGCAGTATGATCCTATCAAAGTTACTCAGGTCTTTGCTGATTGACCTCCACATTCAGAGGCACTAATCCTCTGAATCCCAGAGCCAGAAGGCAACATCAAAAGAAGACCTTGGCCTTTTTGTTCCCACAGAATTGTTCAATCCCCCCCGCCCCCAAACCTTACCTATTGCACATACAGGTCAGGCATGCTGTTTTTACGATCTGCTATCCTACTCAAGGATAAAGAATGGAGCTACCCAAGAGCCGTCTATTGTTTTCTCTCTGCCAGCAGTGCCTCATGATCACCAACAATACTTAAAGTTGTTGACAGATGAAAGGGAATTTACATTTGCTTCTGCGTCACTCAAGTGTCTGCCAGTCTCTTTGCATAAGCTAGGTGATTAAAATAATCAGTATACAATTATTTTGGATCACAAGCAGTCTAAGATGACATGCCAGCATTTCAAGGATTGAGCATATATGATAAACATTTAATTTCTTTAACTAAAATTAAATTCTCTAGGGAGGCCAAATTTAACTTGAGCCCCTCGCCAGTCTAAGCCAGCAACTGAAAAATCCATTTGTTGTTTGGCTGAAGTAAACCCCTGGTTTAACCAGCTGTGAAGTTTGTTGTTTTGACTGCTGAACAAAATCTGTTCTTTGTAATTAAAGGGCATAGCTATTCTGGGATGCAAGAATGTTGTACAGTGTGAAGAATAACTAAATTAACTATATTTTTATAGGATGAAAGAATTTGGATTTCATATTCATAGTCTTGCTGGGTCAGCTCAGAGTGTGGGTTTATGAAGTATAGTGCTTTAGTGAAAGACAAAAAAAGTGAAGTGTTGCATCGGTGGAGGACTCTCTGTGCTCTTGGCCTTCAGATGTGAGATGGGTGGTGTTGTGTATGTAATGTAATGTAATAAATGTATTGAGCTTGAGTCTGACATGGTATTGTAAAACGACCTATCAGAACAAAGGAAGTTCTGGAGGGAAGAGAAATGATTGGTCTTTATGTACTGTATGTGATTGGACCTTAGCTGACATGTGGGTGTGGCTTGCCAAGCCCGGACTGTTTAAAAAGGAGCCTGTTGCTCCATAGTTTGTCTCATTCTGGTTCTTCTGACCGTGTTCAATAAAGCTGTTAATCACTGTTCACCTGCTGTCTGAGTCTTGTATCTAACAGGTGGTGACTAAAAACAGGGCATTTTTTGTGGTGGCACCTGCCTTGGAACACCCTCCCCCTTGAGGCTCACCTGGCACCTACTTTAGTTTCTCTGATGAAACGAAATCTCTACAGTAGTCCTGTACAGACAATCTGTTTGCATGTTGCCGGGGGGGGGGGGGGGGGGGGGGTTGGGGGGGGTTGTC